CCATTCCAACATCACTTCTGCTGGCAGCACCCCTCTGTTGCTCAGCAGCACAGCACAGGGTGAGCTTGGCGGGGGCAGGTCTCCTTCCGCCGTACCCTCCACCATGCACTGTGGACACCCCATGGATATTTGCCACATGGATGCCAGACTTTAGGACAATAGCTAGCAGCAGCAGAGCCCCAAGGGAGAACTGCATTCTGTTCTCTGAGCTCATATGGACTCATTTCATCCTCACCAATGAGACAGCTCTTAGGATCACCCTTCCCAGGGAGCTCAGCATGAGGAGGCACTTGCCCAAATTCACAAGCCACCAAGTAAAGGATAGGAGCAGAAGTCTCTCTGTGTGACTTGGGACTGCTGCACAGAGCCCTCTGCTCAGTGACCATCCACAAGGAGCCCACCCCAAGGAGCAGATCTCAGCTTGGAGCACCAACCCAGAGCATGGAACCACAAGGCCACCTTCACAGCCAGCCAGTGACCAGAGGTGACAGGTAGCTTTGACAATAGGATCTGAAATCCATGCAGCCAACCCACCAGGAGAAGCAGCAGTCCACATGTGGCACAAGCCTTTCTTGTTTACTTTGTATCTGGTTCCCATTTGGCAGCTCCATCCAAGGCTGCCAGGCCTGCATTTTTCTACTTAATGGTTAAAATTCTTAGAAGCATGATTCTCTGCTTTGCTTGGCAGCGCCTGGAACATACCTCTGATGCAGCAGGTAACTGGATAGGTTCTTGGTTACAACAATTTGCTGAACACAAGGTTTTGTGCTCAAAAACACATTACGGCACTCAGAGGGTATCACTCAGGGATTTGGGGTACCAGAGCGGAGGCAGTAAGACTGAGGAGCCCAGGTAGGGGAGACACTTCAGTGATTCAGGAGCCCATAATGTGCTCAGTGAGGTTGACCTCGGGGCTCACCCCAACATAAAGATAGCCTAGGCCACAAGGGAAGAATGCAAGCAATGATGACACCCAGGCAGGGGCTCAGTGTACCCTCACTGCCCTGGCTGTGTGACTGGTGAAAGGCAGTTAGCCTCCCTGAGCATCAATTTCCTCAAGAGCAAAATGAGCAGAGGAAGAGGACTTAACTCCGAGGGCTCTGGCAGAGTGCGTGACGCCACTGTGTTCTCCAGGCCTGGAGCAGGGCCTGACACATAGTAGGAACTTCATACATTTAGTTAAGTAAACCTCGATTGCTCTCAGCTATGTTCCCATTGCTGAGAATCATGCGTGGCAGAAAGTAGGTGCTAAAATCATGTTTGTTGAATTGGCTTAATCATTCACAGCTGTGCCAACTCCAAAACCAGACATGGTATATAATTCTTTCTCAAAAGGTAACTTTTAATAACTGAACATAAAGTGTTTAGTATATGACATGGGATGTAGTGTTTGATTTACATTAGCTCCTGTTCTTTGTTCATTCAACAAATACTCACAAGAGGGCCTATAGGTGCCATTTCTCCACATTAGTTCTTAACTCTCCAACACCAGCTGGATGTCCACAACGTCAGCTTCATTCTGATGCATTGTAGCTGGCTAGAGTTAATGTCAGTGTTCACAGATTTAGGGCTCAGATCCACAAGAATGCCCCACCTTTACAGACCAGCCCAAGTGGGATCCCCAGGCTCCCCACATTTCTACCAGGCAGCTAGGACTTCTTTCCCTCCAAGTACAACTCAATAAACACCTCATGGAACTCAGGAAATACTTTACTGATAGTCAACTTCTACTTGGCTTGTTATACAGGACACAGTTGAGGAAGTCATGCAGAGGGCATGGTGATCAGGTGAGAGGGATGCTTGGCTCCTGTGCCCTGTCTGGGCACACTGCCCTCCACGTGCCCGGCACACTCCAAATGTTCGTGTTCCACAGTTTTTATAACCGAATCTTCTACTTCCTTTCCTAAGGTCAGGGTGGGACTGAAAATTGAAACCTTCTAATTCTGGGTTTGGGGTTCCAGATCACCAGCCCTATCATGAAACAATCTGAGTCATCTCATTAGCATAAACTCCTGTACTGAAAAGGTCTTGTTAAGAAAAACAAAATCCACTCCTATCATAAAAGGAGTTTCAAGGGTTTTAGGAGCCTTATGCCAGGAACTTGAGACAGAGGAAAAATACATTTCTTTCTACAAGCCTTTGTAGCAAAGATGCTGTGGTATCTAAGGTGGGGTCAGCAGAGAATTGCCTGGCAGTGACCAGTCTCCAAGCTGTTGGTGTCACTACTTCCAAATGAGTTTCTAGCCTGGTTATCCATCTCTCTACTTAGTAGGACCTGATTCCCACTTACCCCTAAGTCTCCAGGTTCCAGTAATATTGACATTATTCAAGTCTCACAGGAGACAGAACATATTTATGTTCAGGAGCATACATAACCTTGAGCTAACAAAGGGCTCCCTGAACCTCAGATGTTTCTGACCTGAGGGGCAGAGAGATGTGCTATGAAGGGATCAGGGACAAATTCTATAGAAGAGGAAATGAAGAGCTTCATACTTCAAAAATGATGAATCAGAGATCTTCAAATACCCAGCACAAGGGCACACTCACCCATTCCTGTGCTTCTGGAAGACATTGCTATTCAATCACCACCCACTTTCTGGCAGCTCTCCAGACCATCTTAATCAATCAATCACACACAGCACTTGAGATGAGACCTCTACCTTCTGGCAGGAGTTGCCTCTTCCATAGGAAGTTGATCTAAAGTCCTCAGATGAAAGGAAAACTATGTAGACTCAAAGACTGTCCTTGAAAGATCTCTTAACTCTCAAAGCATGAGAATAGTTCAGACTCTTTGAGTCCAATCAGGCCATTTTCCTTCTACTCTGCCATAAATTACTCTGTCATTTTGGCTGAGCACAGAAACATGAACTTACCTGAGGCTGAACTGTGTGCAAAGGCCATATATCCTGAGAATCCCATACGTAGTGAGATCCTGTTTCAAAAAGGAGTTAGAACCCCTGAAGGCAGTTGAAAAGGCAACAGGGTCTGAGCTCTACTAAGAATCAGCACCAAATTTTCTCATCTGTCTACTCCCAGGTAAGTGCATACTCACTGTCTGATCAAACCAGCTGTCCAGGCAAGCTGTTCATTTTCTCATCTAACCCTGAAAGCCCACAGTGAAGAGTGTAAAATGCACATGAGTTAAATGCCCATATCATGCAAGTCCACTTAACTTGCTACCCCTTAAGGGACACTTGTTCCACCAAAGGCCATAAAAAGAAGACGAGACTAATATTTTAAGAGCACTGGCCAGGCACCATTTCATATTCTTTCTTTTAAAGTCCCCATCACCTTGTGAAGTAGAGACTCATTAATACTAGATAGGTTTTTAGCAGTTTTAGAAGGAGAAATTCACAAATCTGATACCCTTCTAAATAACTCCTCATGTTATATGACTTAAAAGGGAGTTGAAATGACCTCCTGTTCAGATGTGGAAAGTGCCAGATGCTCAGCTTCCTAGGCTCCCTTGCAGCTAAGGTACAAGTATGTAACTTGAACTCTTGGGCACCCAGACATGCCTCTCCAGACATGGGCTCTATGGTGGGCAGCAGCTGGAAGCGGTGACCATAAGTAGCAGGAACATTGAATTTACAGGGCAACCCAAGAGAGCCAAACAATGAAACCTACAAATTAATAAAGACAAACAACCTACCAGGAAAATAGGCAATGGAAATGGGTAATCAATTCACAGAAAAGGCAACAAAATGGTCAATAAGCTTACAAATAAATAACAATTGCATTGGTAAATAGGAAAACGAACTGAAGATGTCTTGGTAGCCTTTTCATTACTGAGACACGACAGCCAACATCTACACTTCAAAGGAGAAGCAGTATATTTTAACTCACAGTTACAGTCCACAGTCAGGCAGCTCCCAGGCAAAAACAGCATGGCAAGGAGTCACAGTGGGGGAAGTTGCTTATGTCGTGGTGGCCAGAAAGTAGAGCAAGACAGAAGGAGCTAGGGAGGAGATATACCCTGAGAGACAGATCATGCCTCCAATGATCTGCCTCTTCTAGCCAGAACCCACTTCCTAATAGCATATCACCCCCATGATTCATGTACCTGCCAAAACCTCCATCTATAAGCATATGAGGTCTTTTGGGGACATTCTTGATATAAACCATAACATTCTGCCTCAGCCCCCAGAAGACTCATATGCACCTTTTCATACAAAGTGCCCTGAGTCCTAACACTCCCAGCATTGCTGAAAAGACCAAGTTTAAGTTTCCCCTGAGGCTCAATGCCAACTCTTAGACGTGAGCCCCTGCAAAATCAAAAGGTTAAGCACAGCCAGCATACAATGGCATAGAATAAACAGTCTCATTCCAAAAGGGAGAGGTAGATGAAAGAAAGAAATAGGATCAAAGCAAGACCAAACTCATCAGCACAAGCATCAAATCGTATAGTGCCACACTCAGCAGCCAGGCAAGATGCTGCACTGACGTGTGAGCTCCAAAGGACTTGGGCAGACCACCCAACAGCACTGCTGTAGCAGCTCTCATGGCCTTTCTCCTGGGGTGGTTTCTTTCCTTGTGGCTTTCCGCAGATGTCCCCTTTCTTACTTCTCCAACTTTCTGGGGTCTCCACTGCACTTTGGCTTTACTTTCACAACTTCACATATGCCTCCTTAGTAGTACACTACCTGGCCTCCCAGGCTGTCTTCTGAACTCTAGGTGGAAGCACAACTCGTGCATTCTGCATTCCTGCAAAACGAGCATAGATGATGCCAAGATCTGCCCTCAGCTTGAACAGTAGCCCAGGCCCTCTTGGGTTCTGACCACAGAGGATCCGAGTTCCCGGATGGCTAAGCACTGTGAAATGAATCTTGGGGAACTGATTGCTTAAGCTTTGTTTTGTTTGTTCTAAGAGGGCTGCTTGCCTGATGGGTGTGAAATTTTCTTCTCAAGGAAAATTCTTTTAGTTTTGCACCCCTTAGCCTGAGAGAATTGGGGTCTTGCTGGTTCCTCAGACGCCCTCAAGGAATCTTTTTTTCCCCTTAAGTCAGATGAGTATGTGCCAGCCTTGCCATAGGCCTGAGGGAGGCATATCTCACACAAACCACATGAACACCCAGTTGTCATGAGCACGAGCCAAGGATCAGGGCATCTTTTCTATTGTCCTAGTAGAAAATACTTAGATTTTTAATGTTAATATTTTCAACAACCAAGTTCTTCTTGCCCAAAGTTTTCCATCTGGCCACCAGCAAATTTCTTCAAATTATTCAACTCTACTTTTTAGTTCTTCTTCTCATGGTAGATATGGCCTAAAGCCACCAGCAGTACTCATGCCCCAGCCTCAGTGTTGGACTGCCTTGAAATTTCTTTCACCAGATTCATTAGTTTGCCACCTTTAATCTTAGTCTCCCTCAAAGCCTCAGGACATGTCCCTGGTAGGTAAATTTTCTGTCTGACCTTTAATACACATGGCCTTGAGTCCAACTGCCAATGGAACCTTTGTTCCTTGCTAAAACCTTCTGAGCTTCATTTTCACTATTCACATTTTTATGAGCATTCTTGTCACCCAAGTTCTGAAAAGAATCTCCCAATCAAGCTTTGCTTACAATATTATGGGGCTTCTTTGGCCACAACTCCAAATCTTTCCTAACTCCCCTAACCTGCTAGTTCCAAAAGTTTTTGAGCCATCCGGTCAGGCATAATCACAGGGTCCATCCCTTTTCTGATAACAAAATCTGCCTTAGGTCTCCTACCAGCTCAAGCTGAGACAAGACACTTCATTTACACCTATCAGGTTAACACCAATGTTAAACTCCACGTGGTATGAAATATCACTTCTTTCTAGTTTTATAGGAAAAAAAAATCCAGATGTAATAAAACCAAAATGACACATAACCCACATCCAGCAAGTTTTTTAGGTGGACTGAAATCCAGAGTTCAAACCCCTTTATGTAGAAAGAAGATATCGATCCTCTCAGGCCTCAGGGATCAATAGGGTGAAGAGGATTCCTAGAGTAGCTTCAGCCCCCTAGCAGCTGCCAATACAAGCAACTCAAGAACTTCACATCTATCCCTGTTCACTCAGTGTGATCCATACATGCCATATTCTATACATGGCATAGTATAAAAAAACAGGAAATTAGTGCTGCATATGCATAAAGAGAGAGATGTGAACAGATGTTCATTATAGAATTTTTATAGTAGGCAAATATTGGAAAGAATTTACTTGCCTGCAACAAATACTGTTATGAGCTGCCTCAATTTCCCTTCAGAACAAAGGTACACATTCCCCCATCTCCCAAGAGAGTTGGCTGCTGATGGCTCAGAGCTGAGCCTTGATTAAAAGACAGCTGCCTTTCCAAACGTGACACACCCTCCCCAGGAAAGCCCATGTCCAATGATGCGGGTCAGTGCAGTCGGACAAAGGCCCAGGACTTTAACCATTATACAAAGGACTCAGAAGTGTTCTCCCCGACTGCAAAGAGTGCTATAGGACCAACTGGGGCCCCTAAGACAACTCCTACTGGAAGTCAGCAACAAATATCTATCACTGGCGGTAGGTAGAGTTTAAAAGCACATAGCATTTGGAAATTGTGCAATGGTTAACATCTTCACCAGGAACAAGCCGGAGTTGGGTAACAATGGAGGAGAACACACCAATGGCAAGGGTCACTCAGGCATTTGAGTGGTACTATGGATAGGTACTGATGAACCCTGTTAGTGCATGGGAGTAAGGCAATGGAAGGCCGAAGGCGGTGAATCAATAGTTGAAAGGGAAATACAGTATAAGACTCTCAACTCTTATAGCAAGAGGATATAAAAAGATCAGAGTCAAAGCCAGCTTGATTGTTAAATTAGCAGCATTCCAATGAAGGTTGAAGTGTCAACCCCAACAAATCTGCTTGTGCCAGATTTCTCTGGTTGAGAAAAAAGGGGACCCTAATGGTTAAGATGGAGTCGGTGTGTCTTGGAATCTTGAAACTTGGAGCCTCCTGAAAACTGTGGCCCTGAAAAAGGACTTCTTTTATTTTTTTAAATTAATTCTATTGGTACAATTTAGATATACATAACATTCATCACAGGAATTTGTACTTGTACATGACATATCTTAATTCTTTTTCTTTTCATTCCCCTCCTCTCCCTTCAAACCCCTCTTCCCATCATTTATAAAAGCTGTTTCCATTTTATTCTTCTATTCTCTTTTTCTTTCCCATTCCTTCCTTCCCCCCCTCCCCAGGTCCCCTTCCCAGTTGAATATTTTCTTCTTATTTCACAATATCTGTTACATTTTCTTTTGATCCAAAATGTTGCAACATTTAAGTATGTGTGGATCTTGATGATTCTGAGTTAGGCAGATTAGAGAGAATGGACTATGCGGTCAGGTAACAAACAATGCATTGGTACATGAGTGCTCTCCCACAATCGATTTTTTTTTTTTTTAGGTAACAGGGATTGAACTCAGGACCTTGCCAGGCAGGTGTTTACTCCACTGAGTTATCTCCCAGGCCCCTCTCATGACCAAATTTAACACCCTGGCAAAGACCTTGGGAGATGGTACTAACAGGACTAGAATGGGTCTTGTGGCCTTAGACGGCTGTAAGGAAACAATGAGGACCTGTGCAACATGCTAGGCACAATACTGGCCACATCTCTGACTTTCCTTGTTGTCAGCCTTCAAATCACCAGGGTGAACTTTCCAGAGCCTCCTGTCAGGTTTCCTATCCAAGAAAAGGTCAGGTTTTGGGTGAATCAAAATTAAAAGACCCTTTCCTTCCCAGGTAGTCCTCCTCAGATTCCTCACTCATCAACCAGGAGGGGATAAAAGAGGTCTTTAATTGGTACCACTAAGACTTTCCTAGGGAGAAAGAAATAGAAGTGCTAAATTAAAGGCAGATTTCTCTGCAGGAGGGGCATCTGTCCTGGAGTCAGGGCCCAGCTGCTGGGCCATTTTCCAGGGTTGTAGCCAGGGTAGAGGAGGAATGAGGACAGCACCCAGGGTCACCTAAGTGTCCTTGGGTTGGCTATCTGATGGGCACCTTATGAACAGGTGTCAGTGGCAGCATTGTGCAGCATTATCTCCAGGTGCAACTTAGCCTACTAGTTCATTACGACAGGGCCCCTCAGAACAAGAAGGCCTCTTGGAGAAGCCACTGTTGGGTGGAGGAAAGAGCATCAATACAGCAAGTCAGGATGCTCCCCAGGGTAGGTTCTGGTCAGAGATCACTGAGCGATAGCAGAGCGAGCAGCAAGACCTCAGCTGCACCATGGCCTCCTGAGTGAACTCTAGCCTGAGGACAAACTTGAGAACCAAATCACTTTATACAGGAGTAGGTCCCAGCTCTAAAAAGGTTCCACCACCTCTTATTCCCATACTGTGGACTAAGTCTCTATTATGTGAATCCTGGAGGGGAAACCACATCAACCATGGCAGTTCCTTTCCATGGAAACATTGCAAGGGTGGCCACGTGCCTCCAGGGAAGTCAGCAGTGATACAGTCTGACCTCCTCGAGGTTTCAGCCAAGTGATGCTACTATAGATCTAAGTTCCAACTCATTTCCAACTCAGGCCACCCTGCCTGAGCCTAGCAGGGGTCTGAACTAAGAGGAAGTCAGGCTCCCAGGCACTATACCCAGGCAGATTCCAGACCAAACTCTAGTTTTTCAGAATGGAAATAGTGAGTCAAAATTCTACCTGAGGCCCTAGTGAAATCATTGATTCAGGCAAGAATGATCAGTTGATGAGTTAAGACCATGTTTGAATCCATTCCAGTAGCTGTAACAAAATACCTTAAATTGGATCATTTATATGCAACAGGATTTATTGCTCACCATTCTAGAGTCTAGGCAGTCCGAGATCAAGGCGCCCGCATATTCAGTGTCTGGTGTAGGCCCATTCCTCACAGGTGGCCCTTTGTGCTGCTTCCTCACATGATACAAGGGCAACATGGAGCTAACAGGCTCCCATAGGTCCCTTCATAAGGGCATTAAGCCAATTGTTGAGGGAAGAGTCCTTACGACCTAACCACTGCCCTACCTCTTAACATTACTGTGCTGGGGATTAGTATCAATGTATGAGTTTCGGGAAAACATAAACATTCACACCAAAGTGGACTATAAGGCAGATGGTCAGTACATCACTGGAGACTTTAGTGGGGCTGAAGTAAATCCCACAGACTTCTTTCTGGTCTCCTTGTGAGAAGAAACAGAAGGATCAGCCCATCCCCACTGTGTTAGCTGTGGTTCACTAGAAGCACAGAATCAATATAAAATGTATGTCTAATTTTGCAAGGGATTTATTAGGTAGGCTCACAGAATCAAAAGCAGAAGCATCCCAATTGCTGACTGCAGTATCAGACATAAAAAGAAAAAAGTCAGAAAGGCCGTATGCATTCTGGACAGCAGGAGCATTCAGTAGCAGTCAAAGGTTGAAGACCTGGAATCTCAGTTAATCACCTATGCAAGTCTGTGTCAGAAAGTTGAAGAATCTTCATTGGAATACAGAAGAATCTCTGCCAGAGACCAACTTCCAAGGGCAATGCTGAAAAATAGAGCAGAGAGAGAGAGAGAGAGAGAGAGAGAGAGAGAGAGAGAGAGAGAGAGATCATTGCCCTTTAGTTTGTGGCCTACATGCCAATTATCCACTGACACACCCAGAACTTTACTAAGTTGTTAGAAGGTTCTTACCCAAGTCAAGTGGACACAGCATGATTAACCATAATGCCCACCCTGACTCAGGAGTCAGCCTTGCACCAGCAACAGTGGGACAACTGGGGACCATGTGTCTCTCCAAGTGAGGCTATTGGAAGCTCTCAGCATCTCTCATGATTTTTTCCAGCCCCAAAATGTTTACCTGCAATATATCAACCTTCAGATTTGACTTATAGATTACAAGATGTGCAGGGAACAAAGGAATGAGCCTAATGGGGACAAAAGAAAATAATCAGACACATCTAGAGCCTCAGATTTTCTGCAAGATGACAGATCCACTTCCTTGTTCCAACCACAACAAAGAACGCTGCACTAGATGAAAAACACCAGAGGGACACAGTACCCAGAGGCAGCACATGGCCCTGGTCCAGATCCTGCCATGTTAAAACACACTATCGAGACAACTGAGAAAATTTAAATATGGACCAGGTGTAAAG